TCTTTTAGAAACTTCCAATAGTCAGAAGAGTTGTTCCCTTTGGGGTGAGGGAGTTGCTTGGCGGGGAGCCTCTTTCCGGGGTGGTGGAAATCTTGTACGTTGATCTGGGCAGTGGTCACGGGGATAGGCACATAGGTAAAAACCACATCGACCTTGTGTATTTTACTTTGTAAAATAATAATGGAAGCTCAGTGCAGAACGTTGACGCAGAAGTGCAGAAACCTCCCACCCCCAGAGGGGACCGCTGGGGACAGACACTTTTCTGTCAACACCATAGCAGTTCCCTCAGGCCCATCCAGAAGGCCCGTGAGCATCGTCCAGGCTCGAGCCCGGCAGTGGGGTCTGCGGGGGTCCCCCTTGGGGGCTCCTTCTCTGCTGCTGGGGAAGGGCTGGAGGGCTACAGACCAGCTTTGGCTGGTCTCGCCTTCTCCCTTTTCAGCTTTGCGCTGGCTCCTGCCGAGGAATGGTTAAAGACTCAGCCTGGCTGTGCTCACTGGGGAGGAATGGAAACACGTCGATTAAGTTTCACGGAAATCATTTTGAGGGGCCCGTGTCTGGCCAGTGGTGTTTGGGTTCCTGAGGGTCCAGGCTGCGCTGCCCGATTGGTTTTGAGTGGAGAGGGGCCAGCTTTCCTTCCTGCAGGCTCCTGGGCTCCCACACTGTGTGCTTACCTCCATACTTGGACAGCTTGTGAACCCCTGGGGTTCAGGCTCGTAGCAGGTAATGCTCTGGCCAAGAGCTTGGAGTCCCATTAACTTGGAACATTCTTGTTTTTTACTGGCTGCCCCTTAAATCATTATAGTGTGCAGCCAGTGAGCCCATTTGTGAAAGCCGAAGTCATCCCATCTGTGAGCTCTAGTCTGCAAGAAGTAAACAGCTTGAAACACTGCAGGGCAGGCGGCTGGGAAGGCCACCCTGAAGGCTGGTGGCTGCTGCTGGCCCCAAGGCGGGCAAGGCACCAGGGGGCAGGGGAAGAGGGCGGGCCTGACTGGCCAAGATTGGGTTGGATCATGGCTCCATCTTTCTCCTCCTCTTGGCAATCTTGGACAAGATGAGCTTCAGCTTCTTTATCTGTAGGGCGGGATGTTCCTTCTCTGCCCCAGGACCATTGTGTGGCTAAGCAAGAGAATGTGAGTGAGCACAGGGCCTGGTGCACAACAGGTGCCTGGAAGCTGTTGTTATTCTTGGGGTGACAGCAGTGGGTTCAGGAATGGGGGTCAGGAGGGGCACATGGCTTCACACAGAGGTGCGGACTCTACCTTTGTCGGACAGGAGGAGTAAAAACAAAAACAAAAAAATCATTAAAAAGGCAGCAGAACCTTTCCCTTTTCTCAGGACCCCCACATGCATCATCTCCCTGCATCTGCAGAAGAATCATCTGAGCAAGATAGGATAGGTTCTAGATTCCCTGTTTACAGATGGGGAAACTGAGGCACATCAAGGCAGAGATGCCCCAAGGTTGGCATGCAAACCACAGTCAGGACACAGGCTGTCACAGGCTAGAGCTAAATAACACAGAGTCGTGTGGTGGGTGACTCAGGCCCTTTGCACTTCCCTCTGATATTCTGGCGACCCCCAGAGAAAACCCCCCTCTCATGATAAGATGTCTTCACCACCTTTCCAATGCATGGCAAGCTTGCTTTGGAAGACAGAAAGAGAAATTTGACGAGACTTCAGGAGGTGACCAGATGTCCTAGAACTTATGTATTTGTTCTCATTGCTTACTTACAGAACTAAAACAGTAAGAATGAAATATATTTTATATAATAAGTGTGTATTTAGCATATAGTTATATATTGCATTATTTATAGAAATATATACCAATGTAAGGTCTATCCTGTAGCTATAATAATAAATGTGTATGATAAATATAAATATATTTATATAAATAAAATAATACAAAAACTACCCAATGCATCATTGGTTTATCTCTGTGAAGTTCCATTCCATTTGCGCCAGTTGATGCTGATTTTCCCCATAAAGCGATGACATAATAATAACCATAGTAATGGCCACAAGGATAGCAGTGATAGCTGTTGCTGAATTGAGCACCTACTAAGTGCTAGTCCTGTGCAGAGACCTTCCGTGTCTTATCTCATTCGGTCTTGCTCAACTGTTTAAGGTATGTACAACTACCAGCTCCAGTTTTCCAAGTAAGGAAATTGAGGCAGAGAGAGCTAAGCAACTTGCCAGGTCACATAAGCTCTTACCATTTGGTAAGAGCAGGGATTTGAACTCAGGCAGTCTGGCTGCATTCTCATAACCAGTATGATGGCCTCCGTTTAAAATGCAATTATGTAAGTATTTTTGGTGAGTGATTTGGGGGTAAAAAAGCAATAAGTGCTAATAGTACAAGTGGTACTTGGTTATGCTAAAATTCGTGAAGATGCCAGTGAATGATTAAATTTCAAAAAAACAACACGAAACAAACCTAGCCCAACTCAACGTGCACACAAGGAAAGGCCCAGAGAAGGAAGGCAACTACTCAAGGTGGCACAGTGATGTGGAACCCGGGAAAGCAAGTGCCCCAGGAGAGGCTGGGTGGAGTGGGGAGGGCTGGGAAGGAGTGCTGTTCATTGATTTAGTGTGTCTGTGAGTTCACAGGTGTCAGTCGGGGTCCTCTCGCTCTGGGTTTCCATTGCCACTGCTGTCCTCAAGATTGCGTGGGTAGGGGAAAACTCTCAGGGTTTGGAGGGGAAGAGGATTAGAAGAGGTGGTCAGGCCAGATGAGCCTTTCCCTGTTCTGCCAACCTGAAGATGCCCCTCTCCCTGTCCCTGACCTTGCCTGGCACCTCAATGTGAAAGTAGCCCTTCCTGGGCATGCACACTTTTGACATCAAGAACTTGTGGTACATCATCCCTACCATGTTTATGCTGTGACAGTGGTGAGACCCTCCTTCCTTCAGAATGGGGGTTGTAGACATACATTCCTTCCACAAATAGTGATGGGGGCCCTACCCTGTGCCCAGTGCTGTATAGGTGCGGGGGCAGAGTGGTGACCCTGACATTGGTCCAGTGATCCTGGGCTAGTGTCCCCTGTGTTACAGCCTCCTGGCACTGGACTCTTGCTGGGATGGAGAAGTGCCATACTCCTCCTCCTCAAAGCCCGTGTTTTATCTCCCTGTCTGAAGGGGCCTCATTTGTGAAAATGATTTTTCTGCCCCAAATAAGCTCCGTTTACGCTGGATTCTAGTTTATTCTCATCTTGCTGTACGTCCCTCAGTGACAGATGGACCCAGAGCCTGCAAGCAGTCTGGGCCAACCAGAATGGCTTCCATTAGGCATTCTAAGAGTTGAAAATCATAACCCATGGGTTCTATTACTACCCCAGACTGGAAACCTCTGGTCTTGTCCAAACTGTTTTACAGATGGAAAAACCTGTGGTTCAGAGAGGGACGTTTTGTTTGTCCTTCCTTGGCATTTACTGAGCACCTGTTTTGGCCCAGGCCCTGTGCCAGGGAACAGGAGACTCCGGAGCAAGAGGAGCTGGTGCCCCCTGGCTGTGGCAGTTTCCCGTGCTGCTGAAACACATGGGCCCAGACTTTGTAGCTTAACGCAGCATCCAGTTACTATCTTGCAGTTTTATAGATTGGAAGTCCAACACGGGTCTCCCTGGGCTCAAATCAAGGTGTTGGCAGGCTGCACTCTTTTCGGGAGACTCTAGAGGAGAATCTGCTTGCCTTTTCCAGCAGCTAGGAGCAGCCCGCGTTCCTGGGCTCTTCCTCCATTTTCACAGGCAGCAACAAGGCATCTCTCTGATCCTTCTTCCAACATCACATTTCCCGCCCCTGATTCTCGCCTCTTAGGCACCCTCGCGCACTTTGGAGACCCCTTGTGATTGCATGGGGCCCACTGGATAATCCAGGATACTCTCCCTATCTTAAGGCCGGCTGATTCGCCATGCTTATTCCATCATTGCCTTATGGGGAAACAGACTGACAGGTGCCAGAGATTAGGACACGGGCATCTTTGGGGGCCACTATTCTGCTTACCAGCCCTGTCCTCAAGGAGCCCAGAGTCTTTGAGGGAGATGGCAATCAGTATGGGAACCTTTATGATGGGGCCCAGGAGAGGGGACACCTGGCCCGGGGGTGTGGGGGAGGGAAGTCAGGGGAAATCCCATGGAACAGATGAAGGCTGACCCAACTCCTGAAGAATGAGAAGGAGTTAGCCAGGTGAAGAGGGAGTGGGAGTGGAAGGTATCCTGGGAAGAAGTGTGCAGAGGCCTGAAGGTCAGCAATAGAATGCACGCAGTGCTGTGGCTGATGCATGAGAGAGGCAGACGGGCTGGGGGGTGGGGAGGTGAGACCAATGCCAAGATCACAGGGGACCTGAATACCCAGAGGCTGTTACTTTCCTGAAGGCAGTGGGGATACTTCCGTGGTCAGGTTTGCATTTGAGAAAGATCACCGTGGGTGCCTGGTCCAGAATAGTTGGAAGTGAGGCAGCCTAAGGTTGGGTGGCAATGGGGAGGGGAGTCAGTGGAAGAGACAGGGGTCAGGCCTGGGTCAGGGCAGGGACAGGGGAGCAGAGCAGAGCTGGTGGGTGAGCTGCTGGCTGTGGGAAGAATAGAGGACGTGGCTGAGGGTTGTGTGTGAGCAGAGGAGGCAAGAGGAAGGGCAGGGTGATGAGCAGATTTCTGGCCTGGGAGTCTGACTGGACTGTGGGACCATCACTGAGGTAGGGACATGGGGGAGGGGTGGGTTTAGGGACATATTGAGTTGGGTTTGACGTGTTGATGATCTGTGCCTGGTGGACATCTAGGGAAGGTCTCCGAGAGGCAGCTCGTTATGTGAGTCTGGATTTGTGAGCTCATGTATCAATTATATTAATTTATATCAATCAGTTATTGCTGTGTAACCACGCCAAAACTTGGTGTTAAAAAACAGCAATTATTTATTATCGTTCACGCACCTGCATGTTGATGCACCTGCACGTTGACTACAGGTTGGGCTTCACTGATGGCTCAGCTTCAACCTGCAGGTCTGCAGGGCTGTCAGATGGTGGGATTTGGGGATGCTGACCTCCCCGTTCCCTCTGGCCCTGACCTGAATGCCCCCACCATTCCTCCACTCCACCTTGGACCAGTGGATGACACTGAGCAAAGACTGCCAGAGGTGAGGGAATGAGGATGTCTTGAGGAAGCGTATTCTAGACAGAGGGAGACGCCAGTGCAAAGGCCCTGAGGTGGGATCATGCCCAGTGTGTTTGAGGAACAGGAAAGAAGGCCACTATGGCTGGAGGGGCTGAGGAGGGGTAGGGGGAGCAGAGGAGGTCAGCGAGTTAGCAGCAGCCTTAGTCATATGGGGCCTGGAAAGTCATGGGAAGTGGCCACTACCCTTATTATTACTGCTATGATCACTTTTCCTACTCTTCTTCTATCCCCTACAGGACCCCCCATCCCTGGACGCAGCCATCCAGCATGCCCTGGCAGGCCTCTATCCCCCTTTTGAGGCCACGGCGCCCACCATCCTGGGGCAGGTGTTCCGTCTCCTGGATTCTGACTTCCAGGGGGATGGGCTGAGCTTCCTGCTGGATTTCCTAATTCCTGCCAAGCGCCTGTGTGAGCAAGTGCGTGAAGCAGCCTGTGTAAGTTGGAAGGGATCGCGGTGCCGGGGGACAAGCACTCCCAGAACCAGGGGGCTGGAGGTGAGCAGAGAAGGAAGTGGGCTGGTGCGTGTCTTGTCTCAGAGCAAGTACTGAGGACATGGGATGGTTCTCCCGGTACCATTGCTTGCCCAAACAGAGAGGTCAGCCCCCCAGGGGAGCAGGAAGCTCGCTTGGCCCTTTGCTCTCTGATATCTAGGAGTCAATCACGTTTATCCTTTCACTAGCAGGGAGTAAATCCTGGATAAAAGGCGTCCTTGTGGGGTGACCCCTGGGAGCCTGCCCTGGGGTTGGCATTGTGGGCATCACCAGGCTGCCTTGGCTGAAGTAGGTCAGCTACAGTGGAAATAGCAGAGAATTGTTCCAGATCTTTCCAGGAGCCCTTGAGGCCTCAGGACTCACTTTTGTCCCAGGAGACCTCTTTGAACCCAGATCTCAGGGAGGCCTCTCTAAGGCAAAGTGGAAAGAAAGTGTTTTAGGTAGGTCTCAGTGGCTGCAAATGACAGATCTTTACTCAAGGTTGATCTGGCCTCAGGCCCAAGGTGATACACCCATCAAACCCCTAAGGGTTTCTGTCTTTTGTCTCTGTTTCCCGTTGCTTGCCAACATCATTCTTACAGGCTAGATGTCCCCCCAAGACTGTGATCAACTCCCATCCTGGAGAGGAGAAAGAACTCTTCCCCCTCAGCAGCAGATAGTAAAGTTGCCAGGAAGGATCCTGATTGGCCAGGCTTGGGTTGGATGTCCACCCCTGGACCAATCACTGCAGCCAGAGAAATGGGACAGCGGGGTTGGCCGGCTTGCATCATACGCCTACGTCTCTGGTCAGAGGTGATGACTGTTTTAAGGGTGGGGACAGGCCTTTGGAGACCAAACCCTCAGACGCCTGTTGCAGGAACTTGCCCACACCCTTCACGGGGTTGCCAACTGTGCCCTGCTCTGCTGTTAATGCCCATCCCCCCGCTGCCCCAGCCTTGAGCATCACTAAGAGGTTCATCGGTCCCAAAGGCTCCCGTGTATCAGGGACATGATACACCAGGAGCAAAAAATAAGAGTGGGGACTGTGCACATCATTTCAGTGGTAGCAAGGAATTGAATATGGCAGCTAGAGGCTCAGGTTTGGGAGCCGAAACTGGAGATGGTTGGAACTGGACTGAGATGCTTCATTTCACGTGCTCAGGGCGGCTCCTGGCACGCAGAAACAGTGGCATACACAGTCATTGTTATTGCAGGAGAAGGAAGATTCTCACTGAACACCTGCTGCCAGCTCCCACTTATCCACCCTGACCCTATTTTATGTATATCCTGCGCCTCCCAACTCGTTCCCCGTGACAAGCTCTACAACTCCGCACTTCCCTTTTTTGGCCGTTAAAACGGCATTTGCATGGTCTCCTTCTCCATTTCTTCCAGGAACAAGGGTCACAAACTTTTAATTTCTCTATTTTTAATTATGGGCGATTTTAATTATAATTATAGGTGAATTCATATCACCTCCAAGCCAGGGGCGGGATTAATAGTATGGCGGCAGGAGTGAGGTGCCCCAGGTTCAAAGCCAGTCTCTGTCACTGTGGAGCTGGAGAATCACCCTCTGAGCTTCAGTTTCCTTAATGGGAAAGTGGGAATGTTGATAACACGGTACCTACGTCCCAGAGATGATACACAGCCTGGCACAGAGCCTGGCATGCAGTAGGTGCTTAGTAGCCGTTGGCTGTTACTATCCCACTTCCTCCTTTCTCTCCTGGAAATAAGAATGTGCCAGCCTTAAAGTCGGCCCTAGTAAAGGCCAGCACCCGGAGGCAGCCAGCACCCTCAGATGAAGTCCAGTGGGGGATCAGGGACAGACAAAGATGACTCCAAATGTGAAGGCCTAGGCACAAGTCCTGTTTATGCTGCTCTCAGCTGTGTGACCATGAGCCGATTCTTTCACCCCCCTGAGCCTCAGTTGTCCTCATCTGTAAAGTGGGGACAACGAAGCCTAAACACCCTGCCCCACCGAGCGTCTGTGAGGTTCAAATAAGTTGATCATAACCGCCACCTCTGTGGTGCGTTGCTGTTTGCTCAATACTGCTGGGTTGTTCTGCCTTTTTCAATGAGAAGGCGAGGGAAAGCAGGTTGTAAACCGCAGAAAGCTCCGTGGAAGTAGTGGAGGAACTTGCAGACTCGAGGGGCTTATGGATACGAAGGTTCCCTGCGGCAGCCAAATCTACAGTGTCACTGACGGGAGGAAACTGGTTTACCCCCACTCGGGGTACAAGGGTGGTCAGTTCTTGCCCCAATTAATCAACCCGGGAAGCACCTGCTTCATTAACGGGAACTGCGGTGTCATTCTCTGGAGCTCTCCCACATACACATCCAAATTATGTAAGATTATCCCGGTGTTACTCAATCCAAAGGACTCTTTTCGGAAAGCCAGATAGAGAGAGAGAGAGACCTGTTTGTCAGACCGGTGAGGCTGTTGCTTGCTGAGGCTGTTGTTGCCACATGGTGTCGCTGTGGGACGCGGGTCCCACCCAGCCCGGTGGAGGGGCTCCATCAAGAGAGATCAGTGTCCAACCCGCTCCAGGATGCCCTGCTCTGTCCACCTATACAGAGAATTGCTGGCACCTCCTGTTTAAAAAAAATTTTTTAAGTTTTTGCCTCACCTGCCACGTCGTTACTTAGTAAAAGAAAATAAATAAATAAGTAAATCATAAACAAATAAATAATAAACATTCAAGCCCAGAATAGTGGAATCATTTTTTTTTTCAAGGTCATCCAGCAAGGTAGTGGTGGGGTCAGATTTCCTGGCTTTTCATTCAGTATTGTTTCGACTTCATTCTGTAATGTCTCTGCTTAAAAATTAGAGAATGGTGTAAATGCAGTAACTGACTCTCTTATTTTTTAATGAAAAATTCCCACATTTTCTCAAAGGGTAAATGTCAAAGGGAGAGGAAATTATTATTTATTGAACACCCACTTAGTGTATGCCAGGCATTGTGTTGTGGGGTTTTTTTACATATATATAAAATCTCACTTAATCCACGTACCAACCCAATCATATATGGTCATTCCTATTTGCAGATAGGAAAAATGAGGCTTGAAGAGGGTATGTAATCTGCACAAATCAGCGATTCAGACCTTGGGATCCACCTCTTCCTGGCCCTAAAATGAAGGGCTCAGACTTGATCTGGGTTGAGAGAAGTTTCAGATGGATGGGGAGGAGGGACTGTGACCCGAGCAAGAGGATCTTCGTGGGAAAGGCACCTGCTAATTAGCACCTGCCTCTCGGAGCTTTTCTCCCTTGGGCCAGTAGGCTAGCAAGCGTTTTTAAGGTCGGGTTCAGGACTAGGGTGAGGCAGGAGAGGCATTTGCTCTAGGGGCTGTGCGTCTTGCAAGACCCTGAGATGGAGTCCCTATTGCTGCATCCTGGGCACCTCTCTTGCCTCCCTGCCCCGCTCCAGATTCCACCCGGGAGAGGGAAGGAAGCAGACCGACGGGCAGGGCCTTTCAGGGCAGGATTCTCTGACGTCACCCTCACCCTTCTGTCTGCAGGCCCCGTACTCACACTGCCTCTTCCTGCATGAGGGCTGGCCTCTGTGTCTGCGGGGTGAGGTCGTGGTGCACCTGGCCCCCCTCAACCCCCTCTTACTGCGCCAAGGGGACTTCTATCTCCAAGTCGAGCCCCAGGAGGAACAGTCTGTCTGCATCATGATCAAGTGCCTCTCCTTGGACCTCCGCACAGTGGACACAAAACCCGTTCCTGTGTCGTCCTACCCTATACTTTTCACCCAGACGTGGCTGGAGGCCATCAACAGTGACTTTGAGGGAAGTCCCCTACACAACTGCCTTGTCGCTTCAGAGGATGGAGTTGTCCCTGTGCCCTGGACCAAGATAACCAGCCCGGAGTTTGTGGATGACAGACCCCAAGCAGTGAATGTCCTCTCCCTGGCCTGGGGGTCCCTTCAGTTAGAGGCCCTCGATTTGAGCCGCCCTCCCGAGCTGCACCAGCCCAGTTCCCCAGGCAGCCAGGTGCTGCTTGCCCGGAGCTTGGCCAAGGGCAAGGGCAGGACATATGGAAACAAGTACCCAGGACTCATCAAGGTGGAGCCAGCCAGGCCTGGGGAGGTGGCTTTTAGGATGGACCATGTGGTCAGCCAGGACTTGGAGGGAGACTATGTGGTCCTCCTGGAGAGCAGAGGAGGGTCTCCCAGTAGGGAAGTGGAGACATCCAGTGGGTGTCCTTTGGGGGCACTGGAGGAACTCTCCAAAACTAAGGAAATCCCTTTCTCTCAAAGAACGCCACCCCTCTCAGGGACCAATAGGGGACCTTCCTTGAAAAAATGGGCTTGTGAGAAGCCAGCAAGCTCAGAAGAGGAGCCCTGCATTTTGGGCTTGAGGAGAAAGGTCAGCCATAAAGTTGACTCACCCACCCACGACTCAGAACACCAGCCCCAGGAGCCCTACCTCAACGTCCTTGAGAAACCACTGCCCTGTGCCTCTGGCCTCGAGGCAGGTGGTTCATCTTCCTCCAAGATGCAGGGACCTCTGGAAAACCCAGAAGATGTGGTGCAGCCCATGCCTGAACCAAAGCAAGCATCCTCCCTGCTCCTGTGCCCAGCTTCCCCTCCTGCTGAAGCCAAGATGGAAGAGAGGACCAAACAGGGCCATGGGAGACCTCCCAAACCTGGGACTGGCCCCAGTCAGAATACCTCCTCTTCCAGATCCCCCACTCCTGGGCTCAGATTCTCCTTCTTGAAAGGGCAAAGGCAAGCCCCGGGGCCTCCAGAGAAAGCCTCACTCCAGCAGGACGGGCCCTGGAAAGTCTTGTGTTCACTCTACTCTCCCAAACCTCACCGAGCCAAGTGCTTGGGGAAAGGTAAGTTGCTCACTTGCTCAGCTGGACAGGGGACTGTTCTCTGGACATGACCAGGTGACAAGGAGGCGCAGGTTACCAGGGACAGTCAACCTCCTGAACTGGCTCAGTGCACAGGTAGCATTCAAGAGGCTTGAAGTCTCGGGGATCTGGAACTGAGCTGTATTGAGCCAGCCCGAGTCCACACCCAGCTCGGCCCCACACCGGCTGGCTGACCTTGGTCAAGGACTCCTTCTCGGTGCAGTGTAGGTCCCACCTGCCCCACACAGTTGTTTTGAGGTTCAAAGACACACCAGAAGTAAGGAGCTTGGGGGCACCTGGCTGGCTCAGTTGGAAGAGTGTGTGACTCTTGATCTCAGGGTTGTGAGTTTGAGCCCCACGTTGGGTGTAGAGATTACCAAATAAATAAACTTAAAAAAAAAAAAGTAAGGAGTTTAGCATAACACCTGCCACGTGGTAGGAGATCTATAGCTGTAAACTGTTATTATCAGTCAGAAGGTGCCAGAGAAGGCATTTCCTCTGGGGAAACCCATATTCTCCTTAATACCCTTTTCTTTGTTGCTCTTCCCCAGCTGGAACAACTCAGACCAAAACATCTGGCCCAGCCGCTGACTCAGGCCCACTGACCGGGGAAAAGCCTGGCTTCTCAGAAGGCCCTCCAGAAAGAGGCACCACTCTGGATGAGGAATCCCCAGGGCCTGAGCCCAGGATTGGGGCTCTGAATGTGGAGATCTTCCAGTCAAGGATAGCATGCCTGCCAGGTCCTCGGGGATCACAGGGCAGCTGGAGGTGGAGGGGAGGGTGTTGGGGTGGGGGCAGGAATTGGGGGAGGGTCTCTGAGCATCCTGATGCTGGTGGGTGTGGAGGAGACAGGGAAGGTCCCGGAGGCTTGTATTCTGGACCAAGCCTCCCTGGGATTCAGGCTCTTCATCTTTCCAGTGAAGAAGTTGGATAATATGAAAGCAATTTCTAGATATCCATCCATCCATCCATCCATCCATCCATCCACCCTACTTTCAGTGAGGCATCCAGGGTGGGTGTCTTAGGTCAGTTCCCTAGAAGCAGCGCCTAAGACAGGGATCCTTGGGAAAGTGATTTGTTGAAGGCTGCTCTCAGGAGAAGGGGAGCGAGGGAAGCAGGACAGGGCAGGGGAGGAGCTGAGCAAGGACATGGCCTGACCCCGTGAGGGTCTGGAGCATGAATTACACCACAGAGCTGGCTCCATTTTAAGATGTAGGGGGCTGGTCTTTTGCATGCTTGGGTCTGTTGGTCATCAACCTAAGGATGGGGATCCTGGGATGGGGATGCAAGGCGAGCCTGTGATCCGGTTCAGTTGAGGACAATTCTCCAGAGAAAGGGACATCTGTGAGCCAATACAGCCAACAGTCTACAGCCTCTGGGGGATGGGTATTCTAGCCCAAAGTGATCTGAGTGGGGTGTTACCAGCATCCAACAGAGAGGGCGTTACTTCTTCTGTTGAATATTTATTCATCTTTGCAATAAATATTTCTTTAATATCTGCTTCGTACAGCCAGCCCCTGGGCTTAGCACTGAGGATTCAGTGGGGAACAAGTCTGATGTGTGCTCTGCTCTCAAAAAGTCTATATGCTCGTGGTAGAGAAAATTCAACAGGTTATTACAATCCAGGGTAAACGAATTGCAACTGTGGAGGACAGAACCCTGGCCCAGGCTTGGGCCGGAGGAGAGGTCAGGGAGGAAGGAGGAAGCAATAGAAAGCTCAGTCCTAGAGCATGACTAGGTGTTATCCAGGTGAAGGGGGTGGGGAACAGTGTTCCCGACAGAGGGAACAGGATGTGCAAATGTCTAGAGGCAAGAGAGACCACAGGGCTTTCTGCGACCTACTGTCTTGAAATTCTATTTTACCTCACAGACTTTGGCATCTCTGCAGGACCCTGGACAGTGCTCTGTCTTTTTGAAACTCCTAGGGGGCATTGTCCGACCTCCTCCGGGTCATCTTTGTTGAAACTCATGCTGTTTTTGCCCATATTAATTGTACACAAAGGGCCTCACAATCCTTTCGGGGCTGTCATGTTCCAAGCACTCAGATTTTGTCCATCAAAGGGCCCTGTTCTGGGAGGCAGGAGATCATTCTAATTTCAGTTTTCTTGGTTTCCTGTGTGACCTCAGGGGAGTCACTTGCCCTCTCTGAGCCTTGTGTAAGAGGAAAGGAAGCAGATAGGACTTGGCTCACTGTCACTCTTTCCACAATACTCTTGTTGTGATTTGTGGACTTGCAACATACGCTGGTGGGTCCCGGGTGCCTGGAGCAGTGTGTCTGGTGCATAGTAGGTGCTCAAAAAGCATTTTTTTGAATGAATGAATGAATATTCTCCATGTAGAGGTTCCTTCCATTTCTTCCCTTGACCGCCTTGTCTTCAGTGATCTTGTCCTCATCCCCCATGGCTTCTCCCACCACGGCCACCCCCAGGATTACATTACCCTGCCCCTCTTCCCTGCTCACCCACCAGCCCAATTTTAATAATCTTTCGGTCCCCTAGACCCTGAACCTATTGGTCCAACCACCTTCTCTTCATCCCTCCCCACCCTTCATCGTGTCCTCACTTCTTCCCAGCTCCGCTCCTGCTCACCTATTCAGACATCCCTCCAGCAAGATTCTCCTCTCTCTTGGACCATTCCCACCAGCCTAAGACATGCTGGCATCTTGCCCATCTGTCTTCACACCTTTTTCTGACTGCCTGAAGCTAGGAAAGATGTTCGGCTTTTAAGGATCACAAGATTAGATTAGATTAGATTAGGCCACCTGCATAATCCAGGCTAATCTTCCAACTAGAGGTCCTGCTTTAATCACATGGGCAAAGTCCCTTTGCCAGGTAAGCCGGCATCCGCATAGGCTCTCAGTTAGGACGTGGGCATCTTTGGAGCCATAATTCTGCTTACTGCAGGCACCAAGCCTTCAGAGAGGGCTTCGCAGGCTTTGCATGGAGAAATCCCGAACGCAGAAGAAAATGAACAGGGCCCCAGGGGTTGAGACCTCACTCCGAGCTCTCGATTGCTCTGCACATATCTTTGAAATGCTTTTTGTCTTTAAAATTTCTATCCATTTTGTATTCTACTTAAGAATACAGTCATATTTGTTTCAATATAAGAAAAAATGCTCTCAATGCCTTGCCAGTTACATCGCTTACCTCCCCCCCCCCATATTGGGAGTGAATAATGCTGCAGAAAGGTGCGACAGGTTTTTGGTGGCTTTCGGTACTCACGACCTCCCGACTTGCTGTCCCTATTTCCACCGGAGACTCAGAACCCAGTGCACACAGCGCAGCTCTGAGCCAGGGCTCCGAGGCACTAATGTATTCCTGGCTCCAGCTGTCAGACGAGGGAGGCATCTGGGGCAGAAGGGCCTCGCAGCAGAAGGTGGACAGCTGCCCATGGCTCCAGTGGACTCAGCCAGCTAACTCTGGTTGTGTGCAAGCCCTGTTCCAGGCGGTGCTGGCTGCGGAACCAGACACACGAACCGATAGCCATGTTCCACTGTGGAATGTTCTGAGTACCGGGACCCTCTGCTACTCAGAGTGTGGTCTGGGGACCAACTCTATTGGTATCACCTTGGGGCTAGGGAGAGATGCGGACTCTCAGGCTTGATTAGCATCAGAATCTGCATTCTAGCAGGATCCTCAGGAGCATGGAAGTTTGAGAGGCACAACTATAATAATCCATGCATTCATCAGTCAAGACATTGATTACCTGTTCCAATTCTGCGCTGAGTGTTGGGATACAATGAGTTTGAGCCTGTGTACCCTCAGTCTTGCAGGATCGAATAAAGGCCTACATTTGCTGTAGGGGGCTGGGGTGGGAGAAGGGCTTCTAAGGAGGGCAGGGAGGAGGTCTTCTTGGAGGATGTGGCATCCAAACTGGGCTTGGAAAGATGAGGAGGGTTTTACCAGACAAAGACAGGAGGGGAGGGAATCCCTGGCAGAAGAAGCAGCATGAACAAACGTGGGGAGGTGAGGAAGGATCACGCTAGTTTAGGCAACGACAGATGACCCATTCTGGCTGGGCCATAGGTGACAAAGGGTGACATAGTATATTAGTTGTAGATGGTCATCTGATCTTCACGTGGTCTTCTCTCTGTGTGTCTGTGTCCACATTTCCTCTTCTCACAGGGACACACGTCGTACTGGATTAGAGTCCACCCCAGTGACCTCATTTTAATCGAATCACCTCTTTGAAGACCCTATCTCTAAATACAGTTACATTCTGAGTTCTCGGGAATTAGGACTTCAACAAATGAAAGGGGGGTGGGAGGTGTGGGGAAGGCATAATACAGCTCATGGCACAAAGTGAATGAAATGAGCCCGGAAGAGTGTGCAGCCTCTGGGGAGACCTGAGTGCCAAGTCGAGAAGCTTGCACTTTTTCCTGGAGGCCATGGGGAGCCATGGAGTATTTAGAATAGGGGAGTAGCGCCCCCAGAGCCTCTGCTGAGCTCCAGTCATGGGTCTACAAGGACGGGAGCTCATCTTTCCGTATGGTCAAGGGCCAGATCAAGCACTGCCCCCTCCGTGGCGGGCAGGTTAGGGACCTAGCGTTATGCGAGACTGGAAAGCCGCTTCCCCTCGCCGGGCCTCAGTTTCCTTATCAATAAAATGGGCCCGGGGACATGATGCAGCCTTGCCTGACCAGATGGCCCCAGTGGCTGTGAGACGATTTCAGGGGGACATGGACAGACATCTCCGACTTTGCAGGTTATGTCATTTTCTCATGTTTAATCATTTCACGTTTTTTGACTTTCTCTTATAAAAAATTTCTAACATACAAAAAAGCAGAGACTGTAGTATAATGAACACCCACATACCCATTATTGAGATTTAATAAGTTTTAACATTTTGGCGTAAATGAAAGGTCTTCATATTTTGCCCCTAAATACTTCAGCATGCCTCTCTCAGCTCTAAGGATATTTTTCCTAATAACTGCAATACCATTAGCCCATCTAACAAAACTAAATATAATTTCTACTACTTTTCAACACCCAGTTCATATTCAAGTTTTCCCATATTGTCCCCAACAAAATGCTTTTCCTTTTGAAATTTTCAAGGAAAAAAAAATCAAACCCATGGTATCAAGAGGATATAGAGTTAGATACACACACACACAGATAGACATCGTTTTAAATTTTTAAATTATGTCAAATTTGCAAACCTGTGTGAAAGAAAGAATGGTCCAGAGGTCTGCACCCCTGTGTAAGACAGCCCCTGTGAAGGTAGTTAAGTTCGTCTCCAAGACTTCCTGAGCCGTAAAGGGTCTTACACACTCACACACTGTAGAGGGTCGTGCCCACTGCAGGATGGTGCTGCGTGAGGTGACTCTGGAGGGCAGGGCTCCGAGCCCAGGGTGTGAGACAGGTTCAGTTTCCAGAGGCCTGAGCCTCTTTCCCCCGCTGCGTCCTTTCCCCTCGACACAGTGCAGCCGGGCTGTGCTGACTCCCTGGGCCTCGGACTCTCAACCCCTGTGGGCACACAGTGGGCCACACCGCCCTGATTCCTGGAACAGGAAACAGTTTGTGGAGAACCCACGGGTAAAAGTCGGCAAGAATAAGGTGTGAGCTGGTGGCCCTGGGCCGGGGGCAGAGCCGAGGACAGAGCCAAGGACAGAGGTGATGATCCGTGTAACAATGGCTGTCACCGAGCCCGTGGCTCGGTGTGTTTCTCAGGAGCTTCTCATTTAGTCCTCGAAATGACCTAAGAAGCTCCGCATTTTATTCTCCCCATTTAACAGATGAGGAAGCAGGCTCAGAGGCACGCTGACTAGCCCAAGGACACACAGTGAATGGGTGCCGAGCCGACACTTGAACCCATCTCCGTGCCTCCAGAGTCTAGTCCCTGAGCTGTGCCTCCCAGAGTGTCCTGTGCAGAGGGGAGTCTGGAGGGAGGTGAGGATGCCTCTCCACGGAGGACGAATTCAGGGACGGCCTTCTGGGGAAGTGGCTTTTGAGCTGGGTCTTCAGGGCTGACTCAATTCAGGGTCACGGGGGAGGAGAGAAAGGGCATCAGAGGTGGAGGGACCTGGAGGCCACAGAGGAGGTTCCCGGAGAGAGGGCTCCACCGAAGTTCTCATTGCTCACGTGTGTCCTCTCTCCTCCAGGGGGTCGGGACAGGGCAGGGAGGCCCCTGCTCCTGGTGTCAACCACCGAGGGGGCCTGGGAGGCACCGTGGTGCACAGCATCAGAGGTCACCAAGCTGCTGTCCTGCCTGTGCACTGTCCCCAGGTAAGGGGCTGGGCCAGTTGGCCACTCTGTCCCCCTTCGACTTCTTGGCCCAGAGCCCAGGTCCAGGCGCTGAATGGAGAGACACCATGTCCTTCCACCCAGTCGTCTGTTCCCAGAGCCAGTCCGAAGCCAAATGCTGGGGGGAAAGCAGGACAGACTTAGTCCCTGCCATCAGGGGGTTCCCAGATTGGGGCGGGGGGGTGATGGATGGTGTGTAAGGAGCGAAGCACGCACAAGCAACTCTCAGGAGCATCAGTATGGTGAAGAAAACAGGGGGATGATGTAGATCAGTGGTTCACAACTCGAGCGTACATCAGAATCACCTGGAGAGCTGTTAAAGCAGATCGCTGGGCCCCACCGCAAGTTTCTCATTCGGTAGATTTGGGGCCTAAGAATTTACATTTCTGACAAGTGTTCTGGTGACAACGATGCTGCTGGGCTAGGGACACATTGTGAGAACCACTGTTGTGGAGTGGGAAGGGTGGGGGACTGATTTCAATTGGGAAATCAGGGAAGGCATCCCGGAGGAGGTGATAATTGAGCTGGCATTTGAATTATAAATATTTGTTGACCAAATGAAGGGCAAATGAGTGAATAAATGAATGGATGAGTAAGAGAGTGAAAGAAAGAATTAATCTGTGAGTAATGGGTGATCCAGGCTGATTTCTAACACCTCCACTCCCCCACCTGTGTGACGTCATGTTGGGCTGGCTGGGGAAAGGTACCTTTCCTCAGAGTTCTGGCCCCCAGCCAGGAGGGTCTCAGAGATGGTATCTGCTCAGGACTGTGGCTATAGACCCCAACCCATCCTAGAGGTTGTGTGGCTAGGGGTAGGGAGTGGAGGGACTGATGGAAGCCTTTGGAACCGTCCCCTTGTGCTCTACCCCATGGGAGCCATCACTGCCACCTGGGGCCATTGAGATTTTTCTTCCTCATCTCCAAGGTGGTGTGGCTTTTCTGGCCTGAGGGGGAGATGGGACCCCTTTTTCTGAGAAGTGGCCAGTGTGGTAGACTGAGTCCTGGAATCCCACCAACTTGCTGTGTGATGTCGGGGCAGTAACCGCCCCTCTGAGTCTCACTTGAAAAAAAGGGACGACCAAGTGGACTCTGACAACCACTGTAAACCGTGGAGTCCTGGCCCCAGCTTCACACTAGGCCATGTTAGAGACTCAGACGCTCCTCACATAGGGGCCTGCCCTCCAGGGGCCTCCAGGCTGGCGGCCAGGCCGGTGTGGAAGCAAACCGCTCTCCAGGATGAACAGCCAGAGGCTGGTGAGGTGTGGGTCATGAGGTCTGAGACATGGCATCACCTCCAAGAGCCTCTTCTCACTGTCTGCCATGTCGCTGTTCTGTGCCTCAGTTTCCCTTTCTAGAGTCATGACAAAAGCAGACATTTACATTCCTCTTACCCTGCACAGTCCCTGAGTGCCTTACACTAATGAATTCCTCAGTCCTCACCACAGCCAGTCCCATGGGGCCAGCACTATTATTATCCCCATTTACAGCTGCAAGATGAAACAACTTGCCCAGGTACCCAGATACTATACCACAACTCCGCCTCCACACTGGCCGCCTCCGTTTTCCCTATGAACTGGCTGGGCTTAAGGCTTGAAGGCCTGGGGGTGGGGGGTTATTTTCCTAACCTGCCTGATCATCAGGATGGCCAAGGGCACTTGGAACCACACAGACTCCCTGCCTGACCCTGTACCTGCTCAGGGGATGGGGCAGGGCTGGGGGTGAGGAACCGATTATTTTAGCAAGTCCTGACAACTGGGCCAGTCTGGGAAATCCTAAGGTGATCACTGAAAAGTACAGCACGAACCGGTGAGGGTGTTCCGGCTGTGAGTAACAAATCCCAGTTCAAAATGTCTTAACTGAGAAGGAAATCCATCTTTCTTGGTCTCTGCTTTCCAGCTCTTAGGAAGAACCTCGTAAAACAGAGCCTGTCTTACCCAGAAGTACCCCAGCACACGCCCCCTCACTTCTCATTGGACAGAAATATGTCATGTGACCCCCTCTTAAAGCAATCACTGGCCAGAGGAATTGGCTCGCCGCTGTTGGCCTCAGCCAATCAGAAACCAGCCCCTGGGGGCCTGTTAGACGGAGGGCATGGGATTCCTGAAAACACGAGAGAGTTCTGCCCACAGGGAAGGGATGGGTTGAATGCTGGACGGCTCACCCACGGCAGCTGGGACAGTGGCTTTCAGGGTGAGAGAGAGGGCTGTGTGAGGTACTGTGGGAACACCAAAGAGGAAGCAATGGACTCTGCCTGGAGAGAGATCATGGAGGGCTTCCTGGAGTGGGGTGGGCATTGGCAACTGGTCTTGTAGGATGAAGAGTTCACCAATAAATCAAGGCTTCTGGCAGCCAGTTTACCTCCCCTTCCCCTAGGTCCTTCCCCCTAGGAAGCCCGGTCCATCCAGCAAGACTGCCAACTCTGTTTACCACCCACAGGCCTGAAGATAAAACCAAGGGACTGGCGGTTGTGATTGATGCCAGGAAACAGCCCCCACACCCTGGTCTGGTCAGTGCCCTGCAGGCCACCCAGGTGAGTGGGAGGTGGACAGCCTCAGCCTAGCGAGTCTTGGGAGCTCCAGGGGACTTGTGGTGTTCATGGAGACCCGGGGGGCTCAGAGCTGGGACCGGGAACCCCAGGCAGGCACACTCTTAATTACAAGTACAGAAATCCCAGCCCAGAGAGACCTGAAGAGAGAGGGAGTTCATTGGTTCATTTGACTTGACAATTTGGAAATTAAATCCAACTTCAAGTGCGGCTTGATTCAACGGCTCAAATATTATCACCAAGACCTGGTTCCTGTCTCTCCATTTCTGGCCGGGTTCTCCTAGGACGGCGCTATTTTCCGCCAGACTCCCCGCCTTGGTGGTGGTCTGGCTCCCAACAGCTCTCACTTCCCATGGTCTTTAATTTAAGTCCAGGAGGAAAGAGTGAGAGATTCTCTTCCCAGAGATCCCAGCGAGTCTCCTTTTGTCTCCTTAGCTCAGGTGTCCATCCCCCAACCAATTCTGTGGCCAGGGGAATGCGCACACTGATCGGCTTAGACTTGGATCCCCTGAACCTCACGAGCCCAGAATGCCGGAGGAAGAGGTGCCTAAGTAGCTGGGTTAGGCAGCACAGGAAGTGGAAGGCTGGCGTATGCTTACCTTGTGGTCTGATCTCCTCCTCTTCCTTCTCCTCCTCACTTTATAATGGGGAAACTGAGGCCCAGTGGGGACGGGTCATCGAGGAAGTTTGGACCTGCTGCTCTATTGACTCTCAACAATTCACCCTCCAAACATACCACCTACGTGTCCCCAGCCGCTCCCCACCCCCTTCCCCCAGTTTGCCTGAATCTTAGCAGGGGGCTCGGTAAAGGTCTAGGCAGAGCACCTCTGAAGTGGTTCTCTCTGACAGGCTCTGGCCCCAGCCTCCATCCGTGCTGTGCTCTACCTGGGGGACAAGGAGGCCGCTGTCCAGCTGGAGACACTACCTGACATCCAGGTGAAGGGGAGGCTGAGCTGAGCTGGGGTGCAGACTCCAGCAGCTAGGGGCCACCCTGAAATAACCCAGTGGAGGTCAACAAGTTCAAGGCTGGGTGCTGCAGCTCCGCGGCCCTGCCTCTGTGGCAGGTGCTCTCAAACAGCACAGTTCTCTATCTCTGGTGATGCTCCTGGCACATGACTGAGAGTTGCAATGGCCTGAAACCTATTTAAAAAGCTTCATCTCCTCGACCCTTCCCTCCCTCTTTTCAGATGGGGAAACTGAGGCCCAAGACTACGTGGCAAGCTAGAGGCATAGTGCGGCCTCGATCTTCCTGCCTTCCCCTCCCTTGGGTCTCTCAGCATCTCGGGCTCAGATACCGAGATGATTTGGGGCTTTGCAGGAAAGAACCCTGCCGTTTTCTTTAATTAGCGCCATGTATTACAATCAGGAGTGTGGGCACCCTGCCCTCTGCCCTGCTTCAGGAAGTGATTTTAAAGGACTCCTTCCTCCTCCTCCTCGTTGGTAAAGGGGCACATTGTGAGCCAGAGATGTGCATTTTGTGCTTTTATGTACCAGTGAATCCCTTGAGGACCTTGTCAAAGTGCAGGTTCTAATGAAGCAGTTCTGGATGGGGCCTGGGATTTGGCACCTCTAAAAAGCTCCTAGGTGGTGCTGAGGCTGCTGGTCCTTGGACCACACTTTGAGTACCAAGGAGAACAGATGGGTCCAAAAAAATCGAATCCACCCCGATCCCTAGCTTAGGTATCTGGAGCTGGGCCTGGCATAAACTTCCAACTTAACCACCCAGGAGAAGCAGCCGCTTCATCCCTCCTCCATGTCTTAGAGGATACTGTCAGGATTGAGTGACCTTTTTCATCAGCCCCAAGAAGGAGACAGCACCTTGGGGGGTCCTCAGAGGACAGTACAAAGATTACAAAGAAGTTACAGGAAAAGGGTGGGCTTCACTCAGTTTGTGTGATTGCCTGGAGAGTTGTGCCAGGAAAGAGCCTGGCTTAGAGGGAGCCAGTGCTGGGATTGAGAGTGATGTCTGCCTTGGGCACAGGCTAAGGGAGGGGCATGATGAGTGCTGTTCTTTGCCATTCCTTAGCCAGGGTCTCATTCTGAATGTTGATTTGTCAGACTTTCCAGAGAAGATCCTCGGCCCAGAAAGCAACTCGTAAAGCCAGGGCCAGCCTTCCGTGTGGCGGGCGGAGTGGTGGTGGGGCAGGGATCTGGCAAGGCCCTTCTCAAACATATGTCCCCACCCCGAGTCCCCTGGTCCTCCTGACTGTCTTCTTTCCTCTGCAGGTAGAGGTGGTGACCTCACTGAAGGCTCTCAGCCACCACGTGGACCCCAGCCAGCTGCCCCCGGCCCTGGAAGGCCTCCTCCCCTACTGCCACAGCGAGTGGGTGCAATTCTTTCAGGTGCCCGCCGTCACAGCCTCTACCCCACACCCTGACTCCTCTTCCTCCCTTCACGCTCCTGCCTCAGGGATCCAGCAACCCTGTCAGGTTCAAAAGCAGACATTCAACAAGCATTTATAATGAGGGTGCAGGGTACAGTTAGTAAGAGCTCAGGCTCTGGGCCCAGACTGCCTGGGTTCCAAAGCCCGCTCTGCTGTGTGACCTTGGGTAAGTTACCTATCCTCTCTGAGCCCTTTTCCTTGAATACAAAATGGGGGGGGGCGGTAATGATAGTACTTCCTGAGGGGGCGGTTGTGAGGATTAATTGAGTTCATGTGGGCAAAGAGCTTAGAAGAGTGGCTGGCGCATGCCAAGAGCTGTGTCTGGGTTAACCGAAAAGAAATGGACCGACATTTGTTCTGTGGGCCCGCACAACTCAGGAGCTCGGGGGCTGGCGGGGCAGCAGACGCGTTCCCTCCTTAGAGAAGAAGATCAGGAAACCGCCCGTGCTGGGCTCCTTCCCCGCATGATCTCAGCCTCTCCTCAGCACGACCCCAGAGGGGGCATTTCATGCCCAGTTTAACATATGAGGACACAGGACGGCGGGGGGTACTTGCACAACAGCACACAGAAGATTCCAGCTTCAATGGCACAGAAACCAGTGCCCGTAAATGCTGCCCTCGACTTTCCCTAGACCAGGGCTGCTCATCCTCAGCACTGTTCACCTTTGGGACTGGATAATTCTTTTGGGGTGGGGGGCTCTCTTGTGCATTGTAGCATGATTGGCACCATCCCTGGCCACTACCCACTCTGACAGGAGCACCTCACCAATTATGACAACCAAAAACATCTCCAGACATTGCTTAATGTCCCCTGGGGCACAGAATCACCCCTCAGTGAGAACCACGGGCCTCCACTAACAGTCTAACGCAGCGGGTGGTTTGCTTATTTGTTTGGTGACTGGGTGCTCTCCTATTGAACCTGTGCCTGTTTGTGAAGAGGCAGTGTGTTAAAAAATTAAAAGGCTACTAAAAGGTATATATATATATATATTGAGCGATCTCCTTTCCTATTCATCCCACAGGCCCCCAATTCCTCTCTGATGAATCTCATGGCCTTTGAACTATATTTTCACTTTAAAACCATCCCTTGAGGCGAAATCTAACCTATAGACCCAGAATATAAAACTAATGATGATGGTGGCTAATACACTAAGTGCCTCGTGCACGTGAACCCATTTCATCCTCCTGCAAGCCTATAAGGTAGGAACTACTGTGATCCCATTTTATGGAGGAGGAAGCAGAGGCACAGAGAGGTTAGGCAACTTGCCCAGGGTCTCACAGCTAGTCAGTGGTGGAGTTGGGCTGAAGTGGGACCCAGCAGAGGATGTCCCCTAGGTCCGCCCTCCCACATCTGCTCCTTCCCCTTCCCCAGGGGATACCTTGGGTCTACTTTTCTCTCCTTCTCTCATTCCCAGCATCAGTGGTTCTCAAAGTGTGGTGCCTGGACCAGCCGCATCAGCAACACCTGGGAACTTGTTAGAGACGCACATTCTCAGGCCCCACCCCAAAAGAATTAAATCAGGAACTCAGGAGTGGGGCTCAGCAGTCTGGAATTTAACCAGCACTCTAGGTGATTCTGATGCAGCTCAAGTTTGAGAACCCCTGCCTGATGCCCGCCCTGGGTCCTCCTGGCGTGGGCAGGTGCTCTCCTCGCTGGCCCAGGCTGACACCCCCACTCTGGTCTTCCATCATGCAGAAGTTGGACCCTTTCCTTGCTGACCTCCGCCGGGCCTCCTCCTTTCTAAAGGCTTCCATCAGGCAATTTGAGAAGAGCGACCCCCCTGGAGGGGTGCAGGTGAGCCAGGTGCATGGAGTGGGGAAGCCTACTGCACCCCGGGATTCCATGGCCCAAGGGCTCAGTGAAGGGGACAGCCAGGGTGGGTCTTCGTTCATTGGACTAGTATCTATAGGTCACTCACTATGTGTCACGCCCTGGAGACCCCAGCCTGGGGCAAACCGACTCGTCCCCACCCTCGGAGGGTTTAGTGGGTACAGTGGTAGAGGCAGTCCTTCAAAAAGTAAACAAAGAAATGGATATGTAGCTACAAATTATGCCAAATGCCACGAAAGTCAGATCGAGAACAATAGGGAAAGAGGGAGGGGCTCCCTAAAGAGATGAGTATTTAAGTTGACGCCTGAGGATGACGATGGGGAGGAGCCAACGATGGGAATAGGAGGGGGACTGCTCTGGGTGGAGGGCAAATACGTGCCAAGGTGCTGAGGTGGGATTGCTCTGGTATGTTCAAGAGCACGGAGGCCGATGTAGAACAGAGTGGTGGAAGTGGGGTAGGAGAAGATGAGAACAACTGGAGGATCTTCTAATCCCGCGGAGGCTGGATCAAGGAGTTGGGCTGGGATTGGACTCTAAACTGGCAGGGAAGCCCCGGGAGAGTTTTGAGCAGCGGGATGGAACACCTTGGCACGTTGAGACACTTCCAGCTGCCATGCGGAGAACAGACTGCAGGGGGAGCCAGAGAGCAGCAGGGAGAGCCGTGAACAGGCTGGGCTGAGGGTCCTGGAGAATGATAGCGCTTGGACCAGTGAGGTTGCCATGGCGACAAGAGGAAGCGTGCCTTGAGATGTTTCAGAGATAGAAAGGAGAGACTTTCTGCAGGACCTTGAATGCCAAACTGGGGGAATCAGGCATGATCTGGGTGTGGGGATCCCTGGAAGACTGTAGACCCAGAGTGGGGATTGAGCCTCAGGCCACCTCCCTGCACTGACAGGAGGCCTCCAGGTGTCTCAGCAAGTCCAAGGAGCTGATGGAGGCCGTGCTGAGGGACCCAGGCCTGCTGGGCCTCCAGCGGGAAGGGGGAGCCACTCTGGCCAGGCTGCGGCAGGAAGCTGGTAGGCTGGACTTCAACCCTGACGTCAGGTAGGAATGGTCAGGCTTTTCCTTCCCCACCTTTGTTCCCTGGCCCTGGGGGCTTGGAGCTGGGGACCCACAAGGTGGGTCTAGGATGGCATTTGCAGGGCCCCTATCCTGGGCTGAGGCTTTGGTAAGGTCCCTGTCCCTTCTCTGCTGCCCCTCCTTCAGCCGTGGCCATCTTCAGCCCAAGGTAGGTATCTGAGAACAGCCCCTGCTCGCGTCTGGTCACCCTCAAGCACTTTCTCTGACTTTCTAAGACACTGGGCTGAGTCTCTTCAAGGGTGCACCTCATTTATTCCTCAAAAGAACCTTGTGAGGGCCACATTGTCCTCATTTGGCCGATGGGTGACTGAAGCTCAGGGAAATGCTCTAAAAACCAAGACGTCTAAGCAGCAAGCCCTGCACCACCCCGCCTTCCCTGGTGGGCTCCTCAGCCTGGGGGAGGGAACCTTATGCTGTGTCAGTGGCCTCAGAGCCACAAAACAACAAATATGTATTCCTGGAAAGGACTGGTTTGCTTAAATTTAGGGGTGGGGGTGCAAATCAGTAATTAAATCAGTTATTGGAGATATTTTATCCCCATTAGAACAAACACAATTAACAAAGTTTACACAAGCTTCCAAGAATAATTTGTTTATTTAACCAACACCTAAATAGCACTTAGTATGACCGCAGCCTAGTTCTAAGGGCTTTGCAAATATTAATTTGTTTAATTCCCACAAGGTGGAGTCTAGCATTATCCTCATTTAACAACAGAGGGGCCTGAGGCCCAGGGAGGTTGAGTGACTTTCCCAGGATCACACAGCTGAGCTGTGGTGGGGTCAAGACTTGAACCGAGGCAGCCTGGCCCAGAATCTTGAACACGTCCCCCTGAGCTGCAGCACAGAGAGATTCACGCTGATGCAGGGCCTGGTGCTGGGCGTGGAGCCGTCTCCCTGCCCCTCACAGGGCCTGGTGGGGCTGGCACTGTCGTTCCCAGCCTGACCCGGCCTCCCTCGCTGGCCTCTCGGCTCCTCTGTCCGCCTCGGGCCTCTCCAGACTGTTGCCCCCCAGCAGCTCCACCAGGGGGCGCTGTGGTCCCACATGAGCCGCTGTACCTGTTGGTTCTGCCGGTAGGACCCCGCCGCTGCCGCCTGCCGACCCCTTCCTCCCTCTGTCCCCCCAGGCAGGCTGGCATTTTCCATCCGGAGCACCACCGACCCTGGGCCCTCACCCCTTCCTGGAAGGGCAGTGATCTGTGGGAAGCTGCAGTCAGATGAGGAGGCCCAGAACAAGGAAAGCAGGCTTTCCTTCCATCGCATTTTTTCCCTTTTCCTTCCGAAGTTAAGACCCCGTAGGGCAGAGGACGGTGGGGTGGGATTTGAGGGGTGTTCCTCCCTCCGCCGCAGTGTTACCATGCCTGAATCCCGTCTGCGTCCCTTCACTTATGTCTTACTGGCTTTGACAATTTTAAAAAATTATATGCAAGCAGCTGTACCCCAGGTTTCAGTTCAGAATGCCATGCGTGAGAGTCAGTTCCTCTCTCTGGACCTCAGTTTTCCCTTCTATAAAATGGAGGCTTGGGGTACAAGGGTGTGTTACAGCCACTCACCATCATTACAATAGAAATAATAAGTGCTAACAAACACTGTGCTGGGCACTGTGTTAAGAGTTTTGAGTGTGTGAGAGCTGGGGCTCAGCCCTTGCTGCCCCCTGGAACTAAGAAGCTTTAGAAAGCACTGATGTCCAGGCTGCACTCAGAGTCTGATTCAGTTGGCTTAGGGTGGGCGTGGAGATTTGAACCCAGATCTGTCCAGCTTACTTCCAGGGAAGGGGAGGGTCATTTGGTTTCCTGCTGTGTCCTCTGGTCTTCCCAGTCCCCTGGAGGGCCAGTCTGAGGTCCAGAGAGGTATAGGGACCTGCCCAAGGTCACACAGCAAGTCAGCAGCTGGAATCCCCAGGCCGGACAGAATTGGTGGGGACTCGGGGGGCGGGGGGCGGTGTGGCTATGCTGGGCAGGAGTACTGGGGGGGAGGAATATCTGGGGCCCTCTTTCCCCCTCTACCACCTCCCAGGAGCCATCTGGCCGAAGCTGTCGCCTTGTACGGCCTCGTGGATGAGCAGCTGCATGTCCTGGTCACTGCATCTAACCACCTCCTGGGGAGGTTAGAGCTCCGCATCCGCCTCGGCCGCCTGGAAGCTGCCATCCACCAGGTGAAGGGGGAGGCTGGCCTCTCTGCAGGGAAGGCCCCGCTCCAGGCCCAGCCGCAGCCAGGCACTCCGCTCTGGTGTAAGGACACAAGGCTGGCCATTCTCCAAGGGCCAGGCAGGCATCCCGTGACATGGCACGTGACATGGCGTTCCATAGGTGCTGAATGGGTGAAGCCCTGCTCACCCCGCCAAGCCCTGGGCCAGAGCCTCTGCATCTACCATGATTTTCCAACTTATCACTTGCCAGTGATGTGGGAAGATGCCGGGATTTCTCCCACTCATCGATGAGGACACTGAGGCGGGGAGACATGACATCACCTGCCTGTGGTCACGCACCTGGGGATCCTGGAGCCCCCACCTGGCGTCGCTCCTCCGACTGCCGGTGCCTCAAGCCGGTGCGTCCCTCCAGGCTGGGGCCGTGGAGCACACAGACAGCGTGGGCTCTAATCCTGGCTCCAGCACTGACTGTGACCCTACGCAGGTTATTTCACTGTTCACTGCCTCAGTTTCCCCATCTGTTCAGTGGGGAATAATATTAGTGCCTGCCACGCTGGGCTTTTTGAGGATAAAGTGAGTGGATACATACTCTTGAAGGCATCCCAGAATAAGAGGACTTCTGTTCATGGGTTCGAGAGCCGTTGTAACCCCTCTGTCCCTTGCGATTCCTCATGTCTACCCCCATTTTGCCCCTGAATAAGTTGAGGCCCAGAAAGGGGAAGTGACTTGCCCAGTTGACACAGTGAGTTCATAGCACCTTACTTCATAGCACCCATGCACCTTAGTCTATAGAAGACAGCTTTTCCTCCGGCACTGTTTGCACACCCCTGGGGATGGGGAGCTCATTACTCTCAAGGCTGCCTCTTTTATGATTGGTGGCGGCAAGTGGTTAGAGTAAGCTGAAATTTGCCACCCTGTTCAGACAAGTGTGCACAGAAGGCCTACTTCGTGCATGGTACTGGCCAGGCCGGATGCCCCCTGGGGTCCCTCTTGGGGAGTCCTCTCCCCTTCAGGTATTTGTTTTTATTTAATTTATTTGAGAGAGAGAGTGAGAGAGAGAAAGAGAAGGAGGAGGGGGAGGGGCAGAAGAAGAGAGAGAAGCAGGTTCCCCACCGAGCAGGGAGCCCGATATGGGGCTCGATCCCGGGACTCTGGGATCATGACCTGAGCCGAAGGTAGACACTTACCCGACTGAGCCACCCAGGCACCCCTCCCCTTCAGGTATTTGAAGAACATGACAATGCACCCACCCTCCCCAAGCTGTCCCTCCTCCCCAAAACTGGGAGGGTCTCAGTCTAGGCCAATGGGCACAGCCCAGCCACTGAGTAACTGAGGAGGAGAAGATCCCCACCTCCAAGGGAGTTGGGGAACCAGCTAAGAGACATCCCCCCAGACACCCCTCATGTCCAAACCTCCCTCCCCTGCCCTAGGTCAGCAACTGGATGGAGCAGGAGGGGAGCTTGTGCCTGCAAGTGCTGAGCCTCAAAGACAGAAGCTTGGAGACTGTGGAGAAGGCCCATGCGGACTTTGAGGACTTCTTCGTTCAGGCTGCAGTGCGTTCCTAAGACTGAGGAGCAGGACCGGGGCACATGGAGAAGGCAGTGGAGAAGGGGGGCATGGCTGGGGCAAAGGTGTGGAGGTAGGAGAGTGCAAGGAAACTTCCAGAGACAGTGAGAAGACCAGCTGAGATCACAAAGGGTTCAGCTTAGATGCTGTCTCCTCCAGGAAGCCTTCCTGGACCACCATGTCCAAAAAAGACCTATCTCAGAATCCCTGGAAGATTTCATAAAATGCAGATTCCAGGGTCCCACCCGAGACCATTCAGTCAGCCTCAGAGGTCAGGGGCAAAGAATTTGTATCCTTGATGTACTGGACCCTAGAACATGGGTGATTCAGCCCCTTTCAGTCCTCAGGGAGCTCCCAGGCCAGTGGGGGCTGGGGGTGGCAGACAAACAGGGAGACAAACAGAAAAGGAGACATGTGGGGGCACACAGCAGGAGCCCCTAACCCAGACCCCGGGTCAGGTGACCCTAAGCAGAGTTCCAGTGAGGCAAGTGAGCTGCTGAGGCAGAGGCCTGGCCCCCATCCTGTAGATGAGGCAACAGAGGTCTGGCAAGTCTCACAGCTAAGCAGCGGGGTGGCGGAGGTTCCTGACCTCCGGACGGGGCCTCGGCTAGGATGGGAGCTGAGCAGCGCCCCCTGCTCTCCCCGCTCAGGCCCAGTACCGCCGCGGCCTGGAGCTGTCCAAGCAGGCCGCTCAGCTGGGAGGCACCAGCGAGGCAGGAGGAGCAGAGTCCCGGGAACTGGCAGCCTTCGCCTCCGCCCAGCGGGCCTTCCAGGCTAAGCTGACCCACTTCTACATGGCGGCTGAGCGGCAGCGCACAGACCTGGAGACACTACTCCACCTGCACCACTTCTGCAAGAAGGTGAGCCCTGGGGCCCCCTGCACAGACCCCTCCCCCGCCCGCTCCAGTTGGGAGGTGGAGCGGGGGGGGGGGCGGCGGGCAGGAATCAGCCCACACACAGCACTAGGCTCTTTGCGTGATTCATTCTGTAGTCCTGCAGGGTGGGAGGAAAGCATTACCTGCATTTTCTAGGAGAGAAGCAAGGTTTGAGAGGATAGGTTACCCCCCTAAATCAGTCCTGGCTGATCTCTGCCCCCAGCTTGTCCCACTACACCCGGCAGCCCCCCAGCGACCTGAACATCAGCTCTCAAAGGACACTCAGAAATCACCTGCTTCTTAAACGTTGGGATTAGGGGAAGGGGGCCAGGTAGTTCCGAGAATCCAATCGAAGCCACAGACTCTGTCTCCACGGGTAGCTCACTGCAGACAACTTTAGGTAGTCAGACCGGGCTAAGAACGTCGATCTTGTCCCACCCTCCCACCATTGCAGAGCTGGGAAAACAGGATCAGGGAAGGGCTGCCATTTAGCCAGCATCACACAGCAAGCCCATGGCACCATTCTAGTGCTCTTTCCCATGCCTCACCTTGCCCCGCACAGATGGCAGGAGCTGGGGAAGGGGGGGGGTAGTTGGAGGAGGTGGGCCCAGAGGCTTCTCTGAGCACCCTCGGAGCAGAGGCCTCGGTCCTTGCCAGGAACCCAGAGTTTGGCCAAGAGCAGAGAAGAGAGGGTAGGGCTCCCCTGGGGCATGGGAGTGGGGCAGTGCTGGGGTAGGAGGCAAGACAAACTCCTTTGCTTTGTATCCATCATCTCTTGGCAATCCAGTGTAGCAAGGTTGAGTGGTCCCACTTGCCAGATGAGCAAACTGAGGCCCTAAGAGGGAAAGGGCCTTGCCCAAGGCCACACAGCTGCAGAAAAGAAGAGCTGGAATTTGAACACAGATGCATTCATGATGCTCTGTGTTCTTCTCCAAACCTGGGAGAGCAGGTGGTAACAGATTCCCCTGTTCAATCAGGTGTGGTGATGATGATGATGATGATGATGATATGATTATTATGAGATGAGCCCACATTAGTGATTGTGGACTCCATGCCAGACACTCCTATAAGTGCTTCACAAACTTGCTTGACTTGATCTCATCATCTCTGTTTTTTTTTTTTTTTAATTTATTTTTTTTAAAGTAGGCTCTATGCCCAATGTGGGGTTCGAACTCACAACCTGGAGATCAGGTCACGCGCTCTACTGACTGAGCCAGCGAGGTGCCCCTAATCTCACCATATCTTTATGAGGGAGGGGTGCCAACACTGTTTCCCTTCTGTGGATGACTAAACGGAGGCCCAAAGAGGGAAGGGTCTCGCTCATGGTTCCCCAGAGGGCCAGTGGCCAAGCAGGATTTGACTTAAGACCCCCCTCCCCCAAATCCATTTAGTCAAATCTCTCATTTTTCTGATAGGGACTGAGGCTTAGGAGGACAAGGAGCAGCCCAGACAAGCTGTACCCCAGATGGGAAAAGAACCCCAGCTCTGGCCCAGGCCCAGTGCCCTGACTCACCCCCTCGCACTCGCCGCCAAGGACAGAGTGTGGGAAGGGCCTGACCCCAGCCTCCCAGCTGTCAGGCTGGCTCAGCACACAGGAGAGGGAGAACACAGGATGCTTTGGAGGGCAGCAAGAGGGACTCTGGTCAAGGCCTGCCTGGGGCGCCGGGAGGACAGGCCACTCTCTGTCTCTGCGGGGCAGCCGGCAAGGGATGTGGACAGTGGCAGCGGAGGGGCCCCCACTCCCAGCTGACAGTAGAGAGCCGGGCAATGGCAGAATATGAGGCTTAGAGCCAGGGGCAGCTCCTGTCTGCTCAGGCCGTGTGCCCTCAGTGACGGTCTTCACTGCTCCGGGCCTCAGCTCCTCGTCAGTAATAACGATCATAATAGTAATCATAACCAGTGCTTCTGTAGTTCTTATTATGTGGCAGGCCCTGTTCATCATTCACATGTCATTTTATTGATACACCAACCCTCTGAGGCAGGTGCTATTATTATGCCCATTTTATGTACGAGAAAACACAGAGAGGTCAAGGAACTCATCCAGGAGCTGAGATTCAAACCCAGGTCCTCTGGCTCTGGTGCCAGCCCTGCTGGGTAGTGAGAGTAGGAAATGAAATGTAAGTAACCCCCCACCCCCACCCCGGGGCTTTACTCAAAGTTGGTGTTACTATTATAGACACCAATGTGATCATCATTAGGAGCGGTAGGAGCGGTAGTAATGCCTCATGGGTTAAGGGCATCTGGCAGCTTCTCTCCCTTGCTTACTAATTTTAGCCCATTTCGGCCCCGTAAAGCAAACTCACTGTGGCTCTGCGCCTTCGCACTTGCTGGTCCCTCAGTTGGGAAGGCTATTCCTCGAGACCGGCAGGTTTCTTGTCTTCAGTGCTCAGCTCACGTGTTGCCGCCTGGCCCCCCACCCCTCTGGTCACCCTGTTTGTCTCACTTCACGGTGCTCATTGTGATCTGAAATTATTCTGTGGCTTCATTACCTGCTGTCAGTCACCCGGGAGGCGAGCCCCGGGACCATGTCCTCATCCCTCCCCGGTGCTGGGAGCCTCACCTGGAACCCCACTAGGGTCATCTCGCTATTTGACCTGGGCAGGCCCCCACTCCTCTCCAGCCCTGAATCTTAATCCACACAACCTAGCGTTGGGTAAGATGATTGTTGAGGTGCTACCCATCCCTATCCAGCTCAGCCTAGAAGATGGAGTCCCAGACAGACGGACAGACAGACAGGACAGCCCTGGGCTGGGCTCAGCCCCAGGCCCGAGAGCGTGCGTCCGGCAGCTTTGGCACTAAATAATAATAAAACAATTGTGCCACTAACCGAGATTTATGGAGCCCTTTCCCAGCCATGAGCTCTGTGTGCTTCCGCGAATATGAAGCCATTTATCTAAAGACAAGTTCCCTTAATCCGCGGAAAGATGGTTTCCTTGGAGAAAACGGTTCTCCAATCCCCACAGCTAACAGCTCGCCATCGGCTTCTAAATTAATGGAGAGAAAGATTATGTTTTTCACGAGCTGCTGGGAACGAGTTGGCTCCTTTGCAGCCTGCAGACATTTTGTGGGTGAAGTAGGGACAGGCAGAATCCCAAAATGGGGCAGAGGCCCAGTTGAGTGAGGGGGCCCCCAGGCCTGGGTCAGCTGGTGGTCTCCCTGGGGACTGTGTGTGCACCGCCCCGGCTGGACCAGTTTCTCCTGTGCGAGGAGGTGCTTAGAAGATACTCGCTCAAAGGCTAGACACACCTGAGTTCAAATCCCAGCTGCCCCCTGACTTGCTGCGTGACCTGGGGCAAGTGATTTCATGTGTCTGAGCCTTGGTTTCCTCCTCTGTAAAATGGGCTGCTGGTACTGTTCACTGTGATCATACATGAGATGCACAGAGCCTGGCAAACAGTTGGTGCTCAATAAACATCTGTTAGACGCCTCCCTCCGTGCTGCTCATAAGGGGTGAAGACAATTGTCACCACAGCCCAAGAACCTGAATGATCATCTAGTACATCCCCACCTTTTTGAGAAGGAAAAACTGAGCCCCGGCGAAGGGTTAAGTCTTTGCTGGCCCCCAGGTCTAGGGGACCAAGCCTGAGGATCCGAAGGGTACTGGGGACCGTTGCTGATGGCAGGTGTGTCTACCTGAGGGAAGAGAGGGGACCATTGTCCTTCACTGGAGGAGGCCAGGACATCGACTGGGCGCTTCTTATGAATTCAACCCAGCAATGCTCACTCCCTGCTTGGAGAGGCGCATCCCTGTCCTCGCAGAGCGCCACAGTCCCGCTCCTAGCCTGAGCCCCACCTCCCTGTCTTGTCGCCCCCAGATGACCTGGTTTCACATGGACTGTCAGGACCTGATGAGGCAGCTCAGGCTGGGCAAGGCCCAGAGGGCCAGCCCTGGGGACCAGCGTCGCCTCCACCGCTACCTGCAGCGACTGGCGTCTGAGTTTCCTGCCGAGAAGCTCACTGCCATGGGGCTACAGGTGGCCTCGCTGAGCCAGGAAGGCCTGGGCCAGGACCTGTGGGAGGAGGCCCAGCTGAGACACAAGGAGATCCAGACCTTCCTGAAGAAGGCCCTGGCCCACTGCCCATGCCCAGCAGGGCCCACGGCCCGCTCAGCAGCCCCGGAGCTAAAAAGGGTAGCTGCCAGGGGCCAGGGTCTGAATGGAGATGTCACTTCCAAGGAAAGGTGGGGCCTGCCCCTCCAGGACTCACGGGGCCTGGATCGTTTGCCAAATCCCTGTTGGCCTCGTGCCCCCAGAGAGGGGCAGAACCGAAATTTGCAGGCAGGCCTTCTGCCCCCAGAAGCTGGCCAGGCCATAGAGGCTGATGAAGGCAAAGGCCCCCATGAGCCATTTCCCTTTCTAGCCCCTGAGCGCTTCCTTGACCCCCTCTTCTCCTGGCAGGGACTCCCCAGGCACAGTCAGACCCCCCATCCCACTGGGGGCAGCTTCTCCTCAGACTCACAGACGTCTCTGGAGGACTCACCCCAGATAAGTCCCCCTGCATCCCTCTAGCTAGGACCCCCACCAATGGCACCGGGCTCCAGGGGTTGGCTGGGGAGGGGCCCAGCAACAGGAGGGAGCTGGGGAGCCCTGGCTAATCTCATCTGGACGTGGCTCCTGAGCACTCACTGTATGTTTGGCCCATGTAGGAGAAAGCAAGAACCTGAACCTGCTCCCAGCTCCCGAAAACTCTAGGAAGGCCTGACTCACAATCAGAATAGTGAGTGCGGAGGGCAAGGCAGGATGCGGTGGAGCCTGGGACTGACTCCACAGCCCCTGTGTCCCATCGTGGAGAGAGTTGTTGGGACAGACCCTTCCAGAGGGCTCAGTCTTAGGCAAGCCAGACTCCCACCTGGAGTCCAGGGGTGCCTAAGCTTCCCCTTGGGGCCCACGGGGCATAGTTGCCATGAAGGGGGGGCGGTATTCGGGAGCGGCTTCTTATCTGTGACAAGGATTCCGGTTCCTGTTTATTTGGCCATGATTTCAGGAACCACTGGTGGAGGAGCAGGGAGGTGAGTGTGGGAAGGGAATAAAGGGTGTGTGGTCAAGTAAATCAGCGCATGCTGTTTATTCTCTGGGCCTGCCTTGGGCAAAGAGAGTCATCTGCTGGAAGGCAGTCGGAGCACCCTGAAGGAGTAAGGTCAGGGAATACACTCTCTCTCAACAGCTCCTCCCACCGACAAGGCAATCAGTCTCATACTCCAGGAACCCCATGGGGTCCTGTCCCCTCCGGGCACTCCAGAGAGAACCCTCGGCCCCTCGGCAGAGGGTCTTCTTCTCTCTCTGCACATCTCAGACTTCTTCTGTCTTCTTCTCTCCCTGCACATCTCAGACTCTGTGAACTTCCTCCCTCCACCCCAGGTCCCCACCTCTCTTCAGGCATAGCTTCTGGTGCCCAGCGTCTTAGGGTTCTGCTGGTGGTTGGGGTTGGGTGGGAGTGGGGAGCCACATCCCCATCCGGCAGGCGGACGGGCTGGGAAGGCCTTGACACCCCTGATCTCAGAGTGAAGCGGGAGAGGGAGGTTCTTGTCTCACAGAGCTGAAGAATGAATCTTGTGGACAAATGGGAGTGAGGAAAACGATAAGAGTTTTATGAAGCAAGGATACAGAAAAAGCTCTCAGGAGTGAGAGGGGTGCCGACAGGGTTGCCAACGTGGGCCTCCCCTGACAGTGTTTTATTTAGGACTGATCAGGGAGCCTGCGGCCTTAGCATTCTCGTGATGTCTTGATTTGCGTAAGGACTGGTGATAACATCTTCAATGGCTTCTTTGGGGTCTGGTTATTCTTTGTTGGTCACAATGTGACTGTCATAAAAAGATTCCCCACTTCTGACGCCCGGGGCAGGGTAGTCTGGTTTTTTCCCTTATTTCTGGTTTTGTTAGGCCCCAGCATTTCTGGGGTTTCTGTGAGCCTGATCACGTAGCTCCCTGCCTCTCTCTCTGTACCTAGCCCCACCTGTTCCTTCTAGAGTCTCTACAAGATAGCCAGCCTTTCCCATCACCCAGAGTGACCCCGGCTAGCGCCTCCCCTGATGGTCATTATGCTGGGAAAGTGTGAGTCCCTGTCTCTGACTAGGATGCATTAACCAGGTGGCCTCTGGCAGCCTGGCCCTGGAATTTTCCCGGCTCCAGGCAGAGGGTGGGGCACTCAGCTTAACTCTGGAAAGAGAGGGAGGTGGGACTGGAGAGTGCCTAGGAGGATGAGGCCAGGTTTTTGGGAGACAACTCAGTAGAGAAAGCGACACAAACCTCAATGCTGAAGATGGCTTCAGGAATCTTCTGGGACTCAAGATTTCTTCAAGTGTGGTCTGTGGCCTGCCTGCCTGCCTCAGAGCCATGAGCAGAGCTGATCAAAGGCAGCTTCTTAGGGGTTCCCACCCAGACAATTAAAAATCAGGCCCTGGGAGCCAGGACACGGCTGGAATCTGCCTTTGTAATCAACTACTCAGGTGTTTCTCCTGTGACACGGTGAGGTGGGCCGTCGTCACAAGCCCCCCAGCCCAGGCCAGCTTTCATTCTTGCGTTCCACCCTCCTGCCTTCTGTCCAGACTGGCCTGCGGATGCAGGAGGCGGTTGATAAGCCCACCTCCATCCATGCCTGTCGCCTCGGAGGGGTGCCGAAGGCTCATAAAATGCTGTTGTCATAGCAACAGCATCCAACCAGTGGGGACCACAGGCAGAGAGCCAGGGCACCTGGGGTGCCAGGATGGAAACTAACTTGAGAGAGAGAGTACAGACACTGCGAGGGAGGAGGGGGGGCCTGCAGCAGGGGGTGGATGGTCCCGGAATCCTTGGAAGGGAGGGCTCCCCAAAGCCATCTTGTGCATCCCTCTGGCTCTAAAAAGAGCCAAACCCCAACACTGTCTACTCACAGCAACCCCTGGGGGAAGGGGATGCATAAATGAAATCTAATGACGAAGAATAATATAAAAAAATAATACATAATATTAATAGCTAACATTTAGTCTGCATTTTCTTTGTGCCTAGCTCGGTGCTAAGCACTTTAGAAGCTTTCTGGGGCTCACTGGATCTTTCACAACAATCCTATGAGGCCAATACCAAGTTCACTCCATCTTACTGAGGAGGAAACCGAGACTCGGAGTGCCATGCAGCGAGGGGCAGAGTCAGGGCTTAGTATGACGCTGACACTTTGGACTCATCTCGGGACAATCTGGGGTGATTGCTGCTTCTGCGTTGGCCACAGGCTTTGTCCCCTCAGAAATCCTGCTGGGCCTGGCCACTGCTATGCACCCCAGGGGCCTTGGCTGGGCCGGTCTTGGTCCTCTGGGCACGGCACCTCCTGTCCCCTGTAGCCCACAAGCCAGTGTGGGAGTGTGGTCAGTCACGTGGCTCCGGAGCTGGGCAGACCAGATTTCCGCCCGGGCTCCATGGCTCACAAGCTGTGCGTCCTTGACCAAGTTGCACTACCTTTCTGTGCCTTGGTTTCCTTATCCATAAAATGAGGATAATCAGATCTCAAAGCCTTGCTGTCAGTATTAAATGAATTCCTACGTGGAAAGCCCTTAGAAAGGTGCCTGGAGCATAGTAAGTGCTCGTGAAATGGTATCTGGTATCATACTCTGGCTCCAGCCCAGCCAGCCCCCGCTTTCATTATCCAGCAGATCAAGGAAGAAATTTCTCCAAGGCCACCAATAGATTCCAAAAGAATTTTTTGCTCTTTGAATCATGTGGATTTCTTAATTAGTTTTCTGATTAATTGACTTCTGCCCTAACCTGCCCATGGTGGGGGCGTGGCGGGTGGTCTCCCCAGGGAGGTGTCCCCCGAGTGATGACAGAGCTTTGTTTCAGCAAAGCCTCAGCCCCTAAGAGGCCGCTCGCTCCGAGGAGGCGGAGGTGCAGTGTCCCTCTGTGCTGGTGGAGGATGGGCTGTCAAGGAACCCCAAGTTCCTTCCCCAAGTCTGCCAGTGACATGGCTATGTCTAGCTCACCACGGTGGGGGCCATTTTCTCTTGCTTGAGGTGTTGGTGGGCAAGGGGTGGTAGGAGGAGCATGGCCTGGGAGGCGGGGACCACAGGTGGCATTTACACGCTGGTGCTGACTGCCCGCATGACCCCAGGCAGGTTGTTTTCCCTCTGGCCTGTCTGTCCAGTCGGGTCACGAAACAGACAAGGATTTTTCTCATCTTTAGAATCAGAGAGCCCTGCCTCTGAATCTATGCTTAATGGCCTGACGACTCTGAGCAGATGACAGCCTCTCAGTTTTCTCTACCTGTCCAGTGGGTTTATGAAGCCTCCCGGGCCAGGGTGATAAGATCGCTGGATCCCTGAGCTCCATACCAGGCCTTTTTCCTCTCCAGAGGGGTGACTGTCTTGTCAGGGAGCAAAGACTTAGCAATCCACTGGGCAGTGGCTTGGGGCAGAGGTAAGACTGAGCCCAAATAGATGTTGAGGCACTTTCCAGTTCACAAAGTATATTTTTATCCATTCTTTTTCTCATCTGATAGTCACTACAACCCTGAGGGCACAAAAGTCATACTCTGGGATGTCCCCATGTTACAGGTGAGAAGACTGAATGAAGACTGGAGAGTGGGAGGTGCCCTGCCCAAGGTCAAGTGGCAAAGAAAGGGGTCACAGGGCAAAGAGGGGAAAGGTCAGAATCTGGAGCCTGGTCTGATCAATGGCAAATCTGGGAGCGCAGATAAGCGTCCAATTTGTCGGCCACTCTGACGTGGGTGCCCCACACCCTCCCGCCCTCAAGTTATCCCCGCCAGACCCGGACAGGGCGGCTCGTCGGAGTCAGGGCACAGGCCGCCCTCGTAAAACAGAGATATTTTGTTCTCTGGGGGCTGTGAACTGGCCTCCAGCCCGGGACGAACCCGTCGGCCTCAAAACCCCACCCTCCCCCAGCTAAAAACCTGGCTTTCTGAGGCTGGAGCCAGTGGGCCCCCTGGAGAGTAAATTCTCTGGCTGGGCAACAGGACTCCTGAAGTCCCATCCCCTTCTGTTTGGAGCGTGGTGGGGGACCCCAGGTAAACCCCTGCACTCCTCAGGCCTCACTTGCTCCATCTGTGAAATGGGATGGGGCCAGCAGCTGATGGTAAGCTGGTGTCATCTTGCATGTGGAATCCCCGCTCTGCCCTCCCAATCCCGCCGCCCTCTCTGCGCACTGAGCATCTCTCCAGGTGCTCAGGCTGGAAACCCGCCAGGAGTTCTTGAACTTCCCCATAGCCCTGAAATCCACCTGCCCATCTCTAACCTGCCATTTCTCTCTCCCTCCACGCTCTCCATCCTCATCGCAGCTTCCGTGCTCTCTTCCCTGGACACTGTCACAGTGTCTCCTCCATGGGCTCCCTGCAGCCACTTGGGGCCCTTTCATGTGTCTTGCACACAGAACCTAGAGGGACCTTTACAAAATGTCAAATGAAGTTGGGCTCCACTTAACACCGCCCAGTGGCACTCCATGGCTCTCCAGATAAAGACCCAGCCCTCACTGTGATGCACAGAGCTCTGTGTGGTCAGGCCTCTGCCTATTGCTCTAGCCTCACCATATCCC